ATATTTATTTATTTTTTTTTTTTTTGGATGTTGCATTTTTTTCTCTCAACGAGCCATTTTTATTAACAACTTTTTTCCTCTTGTTTCGTTATTATTAATTTTGCTCCTTACATTCTCACCTTACATAATCGGGCATTATTTTTTTTTTTGTCACTTGTGCTACTTTCGTTATATGCGAAGCTTAATTTCTACTCAATAAAACAGTCTCCTATTATAAAACTACTATAAAAGAACTCGTAGAAAAATCTTTTCACGAATCATTCGCTATCGTCTACGATACAAACAATTGTTTTGTTTCACCACAAAAATACTATGTATGATACGAGGAGATGTCATATACACATCTAAAAAACATGAATTTAACAAGTATCCATAGTCAGAGAAGATAAAAGTAAAAGGAAAGAGGAGGAGGAGGTAAGAAGAGATCGATGACACAAGGGACACACGCTTTTTAAAAAAAAACAAAAATTTTCGTGTACTCCTTCTGCGTCACGCTCTCCCTCTCACGTGTTTAATTCGAGTCCACTCTCTACATCGAAGTTTTCTTTTTTTTTTTTTTTCAAAGTACATTCGGCATTTCGGTAAAAGGTGTGTATGTGTTCTGTGTGCGTTGCTGTACGAGTTGATTCACTCATTTTTTGTTTATGTCGTATAATAATATTTCTCGCTCGCTCGCAGCAACCTATTATAATTATGCTTTTTTTTTTATTTTTTGTGGCTCACGTGGGGGATGTGTGGGAGGATTATACTCTCGTGTTTTCTTTGTATTTTTTTTCTTTTATTTACGACGTGATGTATATAATTAATGTTTTTTTTTTTTCGTTAGTCCTCGATTTAAAAGCTCCTTTTTGGCAGAAGATTGAACAATCGCGAATATTATGGCTCCTCTTGATAAATTCCTCTTACATACTCGTTCACACATAGTCGATCTCCGTGTATATTTATATATAATTTTTTTTAATGTAACATATACGTATACGTAATCATTCTCTCTGTCTCACTTTTTTTGTATTATGACGTATTATAATATGTTTTTATATAATATAACGTTTTATCTCTGTCATATGGGTATTATTATTATTCATTATTTTTTCATTATCATTATTATTACATAATAATTATTATTTTTTGGAGTCAACAATTCAAGAAGAAAACCGATAAAAACACAATAGACACCAATTTTTCCTATAAGTGTTTATCATCTGACGAGATTTTGTTGTTGTTGTTCTTATTTCACCCTTTTTTTTTCATTATTCGTTAATCAAAAACTTGTACGTTAGTAAGTCTAAATACAACTTATACTTACCCGACTTCAGCCACGGCGCATTCATCATTATAATATTTATACTCTATGTGTATAATACGAACCCTTTTTTTTCTTGGTATAATTGGTATAATCATCATCCGCCATGTCGCGAAAATATCGCCCCATGCGCTTATTTTTTATTTATTTCAACGAATATTCCCTAATGTATAGTACACAAACAATGGTCCGTCGCAAGTCGACTCAAGTTTGTTACGCGTTAATTATTGTTTTTATTTTTTATACTTCATGAAATTTGCTTCATTTTTTTTTCTTTATTTCTTAATTCATGGCCATCGGAAAAAAGATTATTTTAATTATGCGTTCCGTGAGAAAAAAAAGTGGAAAGAAAGTTAAAAAAAAAAAAAAAAAGAAACCCACGTGAATCGGAATTGCGGAAAAATATCGATATGGAGCGAGAAAACGACAGCGGGGGAGAGAGACGAACGACGGGCGCGCGCGCGGGGTGATTAAAAAATGTGGCGAGCAGCGGCAGCGCTGGGATTACGTTCTCGTAATATGTTTGGCTGTGCGACTTTTTTTTTACTTGTAAAACGTGTGGATTGAATGCGCAAGAAAAAAAAACACGTCCGCGTGTACGTAATGATTTTTCCGTAGCTAAGATTCTCTATATCACAAAGTAGACGACGTATACGGGGATAAAAGTCTCTCAGGGCGTGATAGATATAGAACTTTTTGACTCGTGAGTTATTCAAGTTGTGCGTATCGTAACTTTATATACTTTCTTAGTGCTCTTTTCCATTATTAAACTAATAATAGCGGAGGCAAACTTTTAATAATCGTCAAATGATACTCGTCACCTCGTGTCGCTTTCTCGCTTCCATTCCGGTGTACACCCCCGCAAAACTCGTGTCGAGTATTCGTGTCCATTACGTTAAATAAAATACATATATCGGTAACAATGGCTCGTCGCGTCTCGGCATCCGAGCCATTACTGGTGTTTTTCCGCGAAAGAATCTAAAATCACAAGCTCAATCGACCGAACGTAAGCAACCAACTCGGGAATCGGTGAATTTAGAAACCAAACATATATACGACTATACTCGTAATATAGTATCCTAATGTGGTGCGTTTTATCAGTTCCCTCCTGTTTTCGAGGATATCTTTTTATTTTGTTTGTTACAATAGGGGGGGGGGGCATAGAGGGGGGGAGGTCGGGGGACACAGTAGTATTTTATTTTCATTTTGCTTCACGTGCGATTAAGGCCGATAAACGCGCGCTGCGAAAACTATTAAGGCTTCCGCTCGCTGCAAATGAGCAATGCTTTTACCGCGGGATGATATTGAGATCGTGCAATAGAGCAAAAATCGTAAATTTTCCTGGTGGGTGGGTGGGTGGCTGCGCTGCGTTTCTCCGAGCGATTGTTACTTTCCTCGAGATCAATTATTTGTTTTCTTTTCTTTTCGCGTTTAGAGATTTAGAGGATCGGATTCGAAAGACAAACAAGTTCGTTCTTTTCAAACGAGGTTCGTATCTTTTTTACAATTATAATATAATATAATGTGATATAAGCTCAGAGGCCGGCGAGTCTTCGCAAGGCGCGTTAAACCGAATTAAAAACTACAGGCTCTCTTGTAACCCCCTGCGGCACTTCTTTATCTATTAAGTCGCTGTTAAAATTTTATCAAATTCTGCCCTCTCTCGCACACACTCACGCATACACGCACACGCATGTTTTAATCTTAATTCTTTTTGTTTAATAATAATAATAATAATATTTTCTTATTGTATCGTAATGTGAAAAGTACAACACACGCACATGCTCTCTGTCGCTCTGGCATACCCTACGCACCTTAGTTCTTTTATTTTTAGAGTTATTCGTAATGCTAGGATTTTTTGTTTGCTCGATATATAATAATCATATATATAATATTTATTTTTGTTTAATTTTTACATCGTGTTGCCTCTTATGGGTTTAATAATAATAATCGTAATAATAATCATACTAATCATGACCATTCCTAGCAAACACACGCTCACGCATTATTATTTATTAATTTATTTATTTACCTCGATATAGCTTGCGCACGCATTTTTTCACTTTTTTTTCAGCACAATCACCGTTATAACGATCATTCGTATAAATTTTTTCCTATGTATAATAATTTCAATGTTTTTTTTTATTTCGAATTCTACTATTTTTCTGTCGCGTTTACGCTCGCACGACCGAGATTTGTTCGTTTAGAAAAAAGAATCGCCAATACGGTAGTGTGTATATTTTTTTTTCCTCCTAATTAATAATATGTGCGTGCAGCCGCGTGTAACGATTCGCGCATCGGAAATTCATAATCGACAGGTGTAAATGCACTTTACGTTATTACACGCGCGTTTCCGTGTTATATATCCGATTTCAGGGCTATTTTCAATAAATACATTCAATGTACGCGCTCCTTTTGTTTACATGGGAAATATCGAAGGTGTTCAAGTGCTATCCACGAATATCTATTCAGCCTCGAGTGTACATGTGTATACATAATAGAACGCGTGGGTGTATGTATGTAACGCGTAGGGATATATATGTGTATTACACATTGAGAAGTCGTTAAACGGCGCGCGCGCGAATCTACTCGCTCTTTTCCGCTTTTAAGCTGCTTTACCCCCAGCGTAGTATAGTATATACTGGTGTAGCAATAGCACAGTGGCTGATGCTACTGCAGCAACCTATGCCTTCAGGCCTTATAGTCGCTTCTCTCTGGCAAGCTTTTCACATATACATAAACTTACACACACCAACCCCCGTCGTCCGCTTTTCTATTATTATTACGGCCGCGTGCAAAATGTATGTCTATGTGTGTGTCTGTGTGTGTGTAGGAGAGTGGCTCTCTCCTCTCTCTACTGCGATGGCACGTCCGCGCGTACATGCGGAAATTCCTTTAGGCGCTTGATATACATGTGTTATGTGCGTGTAGAGTGTGTGGGTGGTGTTACGCAACGACGAGTACGAAGGCGTGTTTGCCATAGTCCTGTTGGAGTGATAAGATTGCGACATTTGAACGAAAAAAAAGTTATAAATATAAATATTGAGGCGGTATATTTTTTTGTGTTTCGATATTGGAATTTCAAAAAAAAAATCATCAATTAGGTTTCACGTACACATGTACAATTGAGTTTGGAGATATTCGAGGCTTCAATTATTCATCGTTTAACTTTTGTCGGTAAACATTTTTAAAATTCAACCAATTCATCCGTATTATATATAGAGAACTATAAAATTAACAGTCTCTCTCAGCCGAGAAGCGTCACGATATACAAAAACGTCACGAACAAAACTTCCGTCTCTCCTCTCGTCACGTGTCAACAGCTACAACATTTTTATAAAAACTCTTTTATTATTATTTTTTTTTTAATTCTCTGTCAGTTTGTGTGTGTGTGTGTGCGCGCGCGTGTGTGCTTGCATATATCGAGGAATCCAAAAAAACGAAAACGTCACTCCGAGTTAATATTAGCCCGCTTTATGAATAACAAATTATCCCAAATGCGGGACACACATAGCTCTCTGTAGTGGGCTCTATGTGTAACCCCCCGCGAACGAATGTGTATATAATATGCGCATGGCCTGGCATCATCATCTGGGCCCTCTGGGGAGGGTGAGAGCAGCTCCGCCCACACACGCACACACACACGCGCGCGTTTGTCGGCAATTACGTTATATTTTTAAAACTATTTTTAAGTATGTTTTTTTTCCCATGCGTTTAAATTCCTTTGCCTCGCGTCGGCAGTACGTTTGATATTTGAGTGGTAAAAAAAAGAAAAAAGTAAAGGACAAAAGTCAACCACGTTGAGCTTTAAAAACCGCGTAAGAGAAATCGCTCACTCTTACTCGTTTCGGCTGGTTTCGCGCGCAAACATAATAATTCTCTAATATTACACGGTTGGCGTGCGCATGTCGATTAAAATGTGCGTATGTTTTTTCGTCTTAAATATTGCTTGGCCTATTTTATTTTTTTCACTTCTGTTTTGAACAAGATCATTGAATTTTCATCGTGTGTGTGTTTTTTTTCGTACACACCTCGATTCGAATCGATTCTCGTATATAATATTTTCTATATTATATGAATAATCTGTACTCTTATAATCGTCGTTTGTGGGTGATCGGTAAATTTTTTTTTCATTTTCCCCTCCCTTCGTAACTATGTGTCGTATATGTACACACATACACGTTAGCAGCACGTAGGTATACACTATATGTTTTAAATTTATATAATCACTCACGCTCTCTCCGCTTTTGACACAAATGTCAATAACACACAACACACACACGCACACGTAATATTTTACATTTTCCAAGACTCGATAATTCATGAGTACTCGATCATTATTATTGTATTATTGTTTATTATTATTATTTTTTTTCTTGCTCGTTATCATTAACCCGTTATCGTTACATAATAATAATTATATATATTTTTTTTCTTTAGCCGTTATTTTTATTTATTTATTTTTTCATATAAGCCTCAGTGGTATAAGTCGGGGGATGTGTAGGCGGGCGGTCGGTCGGCAACACACCACCGCACGACACAACGACACGGATCGCATGGAACTCGTGTGTGTGTATAATATAGCAAACAAGTCGATTATAATCAGCCACGGTGTGTGTGCCGCTCCGACACTGCACGAGTCTAGAGAGTACGAGCTTCAATTATGTTTTGTATATCGTTCCCCGGTCGCGCGACTTTCCTTCTTTTTTTTTCGCTTTTTCATTTTTATAATATAATATTTTTTGTTGTTGTTGTTGTTGTTGTTGCACGAAATAATCAGTCAGCTTATGTCGTTTTTTTTTATTATATCATCGTGCATAGCTGAGAGCGAGGCAGCAGCAGCGCCGCCGCCGCGCCCTGACTATATGTATCTCGCAACGACGCGTGACTCTCTCGTGCACGTGTGTAAAACGAAGAAAAGCTCGACGGTGTATAATATAACGCACAAAACGAGGAGTCGTTTTCTTTCTCTCTCTCTCTCTCTTGAGATTATTTAAGCCGAGGATAAAACAGAGAGTAGAGGCCCTTGCGTATAATATAAGGTAGAGCTAGCTATATAGCTGAGCTGCCTGCGATGTGACGGCGGGGTAGTGGGTGTATAAAGAAGGAGGAGGAGAGGAGAGAACTAGGCGACTGCGACGAGGCGCCGTTACGACGGCTGCTCCACGTAGTAGTACGACGCGACGAGAAAGCGACTCGTTGGCGGCCGCTCGCTGCTGCTGTAGCTCGCTCGATGGATTTTCCGTCGACGGCGCTTTTTGCGCACTCTCCAAGGCTGCTGCTGAGGCTGGTGCTGACGATTATTGTTGTTGTAGCGTGGCATGAAATGTAGCGGCCGTCTCTTCCATCGGCAGGGCCAGAGCCAGAGCCAGCGCGACTCGCAGCTGCAGCAGCATCCGCGAGACTTCCAGCGGCTCGGCCAGAGCCACCAGCGATAGCAGCAGTGCCGATGATCGTAGCGGTACGCGGACTTTGGCAGGCGCCAACTTTGTCGTCGTCGTCCGCGCTTCTGGCTCACCGGACCACTACTACCATTATTATTATTATTATTATTATTACGATAGGCTCGATCGATCCAGGCTGGCGGTAGTAGGGCCGAGAGGACGGCCGCGAGGCAGGCGCGCACGGTGCGCCTGGTCCGGCCGAGGGCGCGTCCTATCGAGCCGAGTACGAGGGCAGCCAGACCCTGGCCGAGCGCCGAGCACCACTGCCTCGAGAACAGAACGCCCCAGAGGCAGAAGAGGCAGAGCAGCGGCAGCTGCTGAGAGGCTCCGACCGTAGAAGATGCGCTACTCGAGGAGTAGGTGGCGACCGAGACGCTGGTGCTGCTGCTGCTCGGCGAGAACGGCGTGTCGCTGCTGCTTGGACTCGACGACGACAGCTCCAACGACGATAAAGAAGACGACGTTGTGGCTGAAAGTATCGGTGATTCGCTGCTGCTGCTCGATGATGATGGGCTGCTGCTGCTCATGTCCGAAGGGTTGACCGTGGTCGGCGAGTCGGTGCTGGGCATCATCGAGCCGATGCCGCCGCTGCCGCAGAGGCCCGACAGCGGTCGAGGTGGTGGACCTGCAAAAATTTACCGAGAAACAAGTTTCTCGTGTGATGAAAAGCTCCGGGTTTTTGCTTAAAAGTATATATAGAAAAGACGCGAGACTCACCCGGCAGGGAGGACATGTCGCACTTGGGCGCCGTGGCCGGGTCGCGATGCGTCGGGCCCATGTACACGACGCGATTCGTGCAGTTGGCGCAGATGCCCAGGCCGGGCTTGTCCTCGCTGCAGATGTTGAAGCAGCACTCGTCCTCGGTGATCGGGTGCAGGGCTCGGGCCGCCTGCTCGCCGACCTCGGGGATGTTGGGATCTGCAATAATCGAACGATCGCGACGAGCGCGCAGACCGCCGCAGTTACAAAAATGTTTTATATTACGAGTCCTTCTCGGCTATGAAACGGACCGTTACGGTCCTTTTCCAGCCGTGGGACCTATGCGCTAGTTTTCGTTATAAAGACGGCTAAGAGTTCGTCCGCGAGACAAAAATTATAATTACAGAAGTCGTACAGGTCTCCTTTGAGACATATTGAGACGGACGCAAAAACGAATTACAGGAGTCCCTCGTTATACGCGGGGGTTACGTTCCTCAAAAGTTCCGCGTATAACAAAACCGCGGATAATAAGACCTTCCTCTTATGGGAAAGAGAGGGTTACGTTCCTCAACCTCGAGAAAGCACAGTTTATATGTACATTTTACCTACAGATAAGCGTATTTGTTGAGTACTTTATCTATTCATATATGTTTATTTACATTTACAACACATATATATTTAAAGTAAGTGGTTAATTTTTTCTGCTTTGCTAGTCTCAAAATATCTTTGTGCATTTTTTCATAAATTTGTGCAGCTAAATCACAGTAGTGTTCGAAAGTCGAGATACGCGTCATTATTGGATCATGAATCATTGCTAATTCACCTGCTCGAATAACTAGATCCATAACTTCGACAATCAGTTTTGAATCTAAAATCGGTGTAGGTGCATCATCAGTCTGATCTGCCGGTGGTTTTTGAGGCAGTTTTCGACGGAGTTTTAGAGAAAGCCATACTTAAATAAATTTATAAATTTTCAACAAATTTAGGTTAATTGACAAATTCGATTTATGCGTCTACACTAACCAAATTCAAACTGAATATAGATACGTCCGAGAAAAAAATCACGATCTTCGATCCGCGGATAACAAAACTCGACCCGCGCATACGAAGGGACGGGCGCAAATCGACTAACCGCGGAAAACGAATTTCGCGGATAATAAATCCGCGTATAACGAGGGACTCCTGTAGTACCGAAGTGACCGCTAGATGGCGCACGCCCGAAATTCTCGGTCAAATCGAATGTGAAAAAGCAAAGTTCTTGGAATACATATGAGATATAAGATTTAACATATGAGATATAAAATATAGCCTTAGGTGCTACCACACCTCTTGATTATTGATACAATACTTCTTGATAATTTTTGTCAAGCATCGGAATGGGTCCGTAAAGAACCTTTCTCGCACGAATTTCAAAGATATTTTGGCTACATGTTTGACTTTCAGCCAGTCCATACAATGAAAAGCATAAATTATAAAGCCCAAAAGTATATTTACAAGCAATCAATTGTATAAGTATACTTGCCTCGGCAAAGGAAGGTGGGCTCTCCGGCGTACTGGGTCGGGTAGGCCGGCGCACGGTCGCCCGGCAGCAGGTAGGGGCAGCGTTGTTCCACAGATTGGCAGAGGGACCGGCAAGGCCTCAATCGTCGGCCGGTCCAGGATTCCTCCGAGGGCTCTGAAGGATACGGTCCCCCGTGAGCGAAGTAAGGCACCAGGGAGCTGCACACCCATTTTCTATATGCCTCCTGCAACATTTAGCAAAGAACAAAACGTTTCGTGAATAATTCGGTCGTTATCCATAGATGAGCGTTATAATTTGGTTTAGAAAAGTTCAGTTTTCATTATAAAGATATCGAATACATCTCAAAATATTTCACAACGTATTAAAACGTTACACGAGACGGGGGGGAGAACGAAATTGTGTAAAATCAGAAAAATTACGATACCACTAAGCGCGACTGGGAAATATTGCATTTTATCGAGTACAGCGTGTATACGCGGTGTACAGGTTGTCTGCAGCGCTCTTGTTATTTTCTCACCGCTTTGTTTGTTGTGTGTAGCATATACAATATATATCTATAGCTCCTCCTCTCCTTTTTTCTTTCTCTCTGGCACGAAAAACGTGTACAGAGATGTTGTATATAGCACATATATATAAACGCCTCAAGCAGCAAAGCTATTTGCGGCCCCGTACAAACGCCCACACACACACACACACAGATGGACAGACGAGACGATGCTTTGCTCGTATACACAATACAATGCACGTATGTGTTATATACACCGTGCGCAGTAATTCATTTAAACGGAATCGCTCGACCAAAGGCGATGTGCCAATCAAAACAAAGGGGAGGCGTTATCGTCTTCGTTCGGTTATTAGAAATTCGATAAAAGTCAGCAGCATTCACCGGACCGAGACAATTATATACTCCCAGCAGCTATATCACCACGTTATATCTATATAGTTGGGTGCAAAAACGTGAATCATTCGATTTCTTTTTTACTTTTCATCGAGGCCGCAAGACTCGAAAAGCAGCGGTGCGGTGCTGCAGCTCTTATCACGACACTGGATCATAACGTGATATATGGAAGGTAATGAAGTTGTTACATTAATGAAGCGTCGTCTCGCGTGCGGCTTATAGTAGTAATAGTAGTCGGTAGTAGCAGCAGCAGCGGCAGCAGCATCGGCTGGTCGAAATTACCTTATAAATCCGCGCGCTGTGCTCTCTCCGTCAAGATATTGCCTAAACCCCGCTTTATACGCGTTTCCGAAATCAGTTTAGAGCCCTGCCCCCTTCCCTGCGCAGCGTATACTCTCGAGCGCGATATTAAAAGTTGTTATATTTTTCAATCGCTGCGCTATATACTCCTTGATATTTCGTCGGCCTCTCGAAATACGCAAGTTCACGAGCGTTGGATGTGTATAATATTATATTATTACGCGGGAGAGGAAGGAAGGAAACGACATTTAAACGCGTAATTATCGGGATACTTCGGGGTGGTGGTGGAGAGTTACGACGACGGTCATGAAGGATGAATCCGATCCGTATACAGCAGTAGTAAGCCTCGCCTCGTCTCGTAGTAAGCTCTGGCAGCAGCAGCAGCAGCAGCGGCAACGATTGGCGTCGGAAAATCCGTGTCTCCGTTGTCGTCGATCATAGCTTCATCGTCGTCGTCGTCGTACTCACACACACACACACACAGATAGCTCTCGGGCACAGCAGACACACGTATATATACGCGCGCTTAAAAAGGAGGGGTGGAAGAGGAGGGAAGGGAGGGAGGACAGGTGCTGCACACGCGCGCGCCACCAACCAGAGGGCGATGATCGATTGACCTGACGCGAAAATCACGTGCAGCCAGCAGCAGCAGCACACAGCCGTATACACAGGGTGGGGCAATTCTGGCTCTCTCTCTCTCTCTCTCTCTCTTTAGCAGAGCTTTCAGCAGCAGCAGCAGAGGCAACAAAATAGAATTGTCAAAGGCTCGAGCGCGCCTATGTATGTATACGAACGAGTTATTCGAGTAACTCGTCGGCGCGCGATGTAAGCATCTGTGTGAATATGTGTGTGTGTGTGTGTGTGGCCCTCTCTCGCCCTCTCGTAATTATTAGCTGGGCATATACGCGCGCATATTCGCCGCTATATACCGATATTACGTATACACATTTACACATTGTTTCACCGTGTCAAGCTGCTGTTGCATATACGCTATACAGTGTGTAGACTCTTGGGAGAAGGGCAGCAGCAAACGACCACGGAGCGCCCGAATTCCGTTGCGAGCTACAGCTTTACACGTCTATATACGCAAGCGCGTAAAAATCACGAAAATAAAGCACCTTGCGTCCTCACTGCCAACAAACCCTTTGAAACTGTGCATCTCGTCCTCCCGAGCCGCATATTAAATTGAAAACCCGTGACTTATTCAAAAGTCGCGTACGGTGGGCCACGGGTAACCCCGTGATGCGCACGCGGTTATGTGTATACCTACATGCTGCGACTTTATGCGCATAATACGTAAAAAGCTCTATCTCTCTCTCTGTCTTTCTCTCACTCGGTGCTGCTGCTGCTGGTGCGCGTTACAAACTTCTTTTTTCTCAGAATACATGTACACTAGTACATAGTAGGTGGCGGTGGTAGCTGCCTGCTGAGTAGGGAGCTTTTGCCGTTGCTGCTGCGGCTCTAAATCTCAAGAAATAGAGTCAAGCTTACTGCACTCGAGTTTTTAAAATTGAAGAAAATCACGTACGCGATACAGTGGCGCGCTGCTGCTGCTACTACCACCGCTACCACTACGTGTACTACCTATATATACGTGCATCGGTGGGCGATTATACAATTTTTCTTTTTCTTTTTCGCGATTCATCAATTTCGCGCTCGTTTGATGAAGCCTTGACCGATGTGCACAGCAGCTCGGAGCTCTTATTCGATCCTTACGTAAGGCATACAATCGTATATAGGCGTTTGTACGAGAATTCAAAAGCAGCATTTAGAGAGAGAGAGACAGCTGCATACAGAGGATAGTAAAGCTGCACAGTTCCTGTAAGGAATTAGCCACGGACCGATGCGTATCAGCCCCCGAAGTCGTTGGCGGCGGCGGCCCGCATCTGTTGCACACTTATGTAGCCGAGCTAGCTCTGCTCTGCGCTAAGGGCGGCTTGATATATATATACGGGAATACACGCGTTCACACACAGCAGCAAGGCGCACTTTGGCAAGTGTATATGTGCTGTACAGGCCGTACTAATGACCGCGTATACACGCGTGCCAACGACGTGTCAATGATTGCTTGTGCTGCTGCTGCTGCTGCTGCTGCTATACACGTGTGCTGCTGGGAGCTGGAGTTTGTGGACGCACCTGCGCGCTTACATTCACACACACACACAGACAGACAGAGAGCATCGAGCGACTGTACTATACTCTATACTCGGCAGAGAGAGAGAGAGAGAGAGAGAGAAAGCCGTGTTGTATATAGAGAGACAGGAGAGCTGTTTACGCTCTGATACTGCACCGAGGATACGTGTAACGCTTAACTACCCCCCGCCGCTACGTACAAACTGCGTAATGTGTAGCAGCCGCCTGTGTCTCTACGTCTATATATACGAGTGCACGAGTTGATACACATCGTGTGCGTCTGTGTGTGTACCACTGTACAGTCATTCTCTCTCTCTCTCTCTTCTCGCTCGCTTTTCGGAGCCGAATCCCAAAGACTTGACGCGGCGACACGTATACATACATACATACACACCTCCCGCGATTCACGTGTGTGCCGCTGCTGCTGCTGCTGCTGCAGCCATCGACGCTCGCGCTCGCGCGCGCGGAGATTGAGAACAGAGAAAGAGAGCTCGGGCTGTTAACTAGTAGGTTAGATACTTCAAGTACTCTCCAAAACGCTGCTATACTGCTATGCCGCTGTGCCACTGGTATAGTACTGTTTTTGACCCAATTCCACCTAGTACCTCCGTCTCTTTCTCTCTCTATCGCGCGCGCACACACGTATACTACCCCCCTCCCTCCCTTCCTCGCTCTTTCCACTACCCTCCATGCCCCCTCATCCCCACCTTTCTGTCGCGGATGCTGCTACTGCTCAGAAAACTAAGCAAAGTAAAAGGAGCTTTTTTCTTCAACTGGCTTCTTCATCTTCTTCTCTCTCTGCGCTTCTTTCTTTTATTTTCCGTTTTCTTTTTCGCCCTCGCCCCCCGCGATACCGCCTCATTCGCCTCGAGGCTAGACTACTACTACTGCTCTTACGACGACCGAGACACACGCTGCGTCCACGAGGTAACCACAATTGCGACACCGATGCTGATTGACTAGCATTGGCAACGATGCGAAAGCGTACTGCCTCATTAGGTCGTATGCAGGCGGCTATATACCTCTTCTCCACACTTTTTGTCGTCCGTATGTACGTATATGCAAATTAATGATCGACCAAGTTTTTATCTGTATGCTACTCTTCGTGCATTTTATCAATTAAATTTATCTCGATTTCAGTCGCTCGCGTATATGAACGTAATTGATGCGAAGATTAAATCACGAAAAACAAATAATTACTTGATTATTTCTTTACCTTTGATTAATTCAAATCACACGTCTCCTAGCTCTCGTGTTTGCTTACGTCGTATTAAAATTGATACGAAGTTCGAAGAAAATTACCGCGCGCGGAAACACTTTTGCAACGTCCAAGAATCCGGGACTTGGACTTTTTTCCACTTTAGACCTTCGTTGGCAGTGGTATAAGTCAACCTTTCGTCCGACTCTCGCTTCGCTCGCGAGGAATTCTTTTTTTCTCTTCTCTCCTCCTGCTCCCACCACCTTCTCAAGATAAACAATACAAATAGCACTTGCGCGTCGCATTAAAAGCAAAATTTTCGAATAGTTTACTATCGTCGTTGCGCGCGCTCACACACAGAGCTCTCAAAGTAAATATTTTCCCTCGGAAAGGTCAATAAAAATCCAAAACTATGTCCCCGGGACCGGAAGAATGCAACGACCTTTACAATCGGGCGCGCAAGCATAGAAACGTCTCCTCTACATACATATATACTTATACAGAGAGAGAGAGAATCATTTCCAGGACCACGTAAAACTGGGAATTCTTTGGATAATTTTTTGTTCTCTCTTTGGCTGGTACACAATTTTCATGCCAACGCGACACAGGCAGATAGGTATAAGGGTACGACGACGAGAACGACGAAATACCTACGGACGTGGAAAAAGAGAGAGAGAGCGTCTGGCGCCATGCT